TCAAATATCCGGGAATTCTAAAGCCAGGATTTCTTTTTATTAGATGCTAGTCTATTTATTGAGCGGGGGATTTGAACATCCTGACGTAAAAAGCACACGGTTATAGAACTGCCACTGGGCTGGATCCTGCCCCGCCAACGCAAGGTAATTCAATTTCAAGTCATGGCGATTTTATTTTGTAACGTCGATGAGGGATCCACCATGGCGACGCATCATCATTTTTCTTTCTATGTCGTCGCGCTCGCCCCCACGCAGCATCCGCCATTGCCGCCATGGCTGCGGCCACGCCGAATTACCAGGCACTCGATGCTCGCCGCGCGGCGCCCGAAGTAACGTGAGGGATTGACGATGGCAACGCATCTTCATTCATCGTTCCACGTCATCGCACTCGCCCTCGCGGATCATCCGCAATTGCCGCAGTGGCCTCGGCCACGCCGGATTACCAGGCACCCGACGCTCGCCTCGCGGCGTCTGAAATACCGCTGAAGGATCCACGATGGCGACGCATTTTCATTCATCGTTCGATGTCATCGCGCTAGACCCCACGCAGCTTTCGCCATTGCCGCCATGGCTGCGGCCACGCAGAATTACCAGGCACTCGATGCTCGCCGCGCGGCGCCCGAAGTAACGAGAGGGATTGACGATGGCGACGCATCTTCATTCATCGTTCCATGTCATCGCACTCGCCCTCGCGGATCATCCGCAATTGCCGCAGTGGCCTCGGCCACGCCGGATTACCAGGCACCCGACGCTCGCCTCGCGGCGTCTGAAATACCGCTGAAGGATCCACGATGGCGACGCATTTTCATTCGTCGTTCGATGTCATCGCGCTTGACCCCGCGCATCATGCGCCATTGCCGCCATGGCCGCGGCCGCGGTGGATTGCCAGGTGTTCGATGCTCGCGGCGCGGCGCCTGAAATACCGCTAAGCCGTTGCAGAAGTTCGTCACGTTTCATGGGGGCGTCAAAACATGCGGGTTTCGTTCGTTACTTCCGCGCGTGCGGGCGGGCCAAGGCTGACCCTGGTCCCGACCGCGCCAAACACATCCAAGATTTATAAATCCAGGCTTTGTGCGTTAAAGATTTATATATAAAAAACAGGGGTATTCCAACATCCCGACGTAAGTGTACGCGGTTTTAGGCATCCCACCAGGCGGAATCTCGCCCTGCCGATTCAAATTGTTTCAATCTCCAGTCATGACGAAATTTGTGTTCCCGATGTAGTAGTGCTATTGCAGCAATGCCTATTGATACCGATAGTGATAGTAAGAATCAGACAGGGCAGCATAATATGAAAAACACTTGGGAGCGAACCGCCTTGCATCCCAAGCTACTTTTCGATCCGATCGATCCGATTCGGCCGGTTCGACATGATTCGATTCAGCCGACGACCCGATGCGGCCCGATGGTTGCACGGCGCTGTTCTGCAACCGGGCGCAGCCGATCTTGTTCGGAGTTGACTCTGTGCCGAGACGGCCCGCCCCGAAGCGCGTTCCGACCCCCTCAGGCTCCTCCTCCTCCTCCTCCTCCTCCTCCTCCGCCTCCTCCGCCCCCTCCTCCTCCTCCTCCTCCTCCTCCTCCTCCTCCTCCTTCTCCTATTCTTTTTTTCGCGATTATTCTTACCCGTCGACAGGGCCGCACCCAGTTCCCGGCATTTTGCGGTCGCGCTTGCGAGTGCCCAGGTGCGCCGCCCCATCTCGCGCTCTGTCCCTCCCCCCCTCGGGCTCCATCCTGGCCTCCGCCCCCCTCTCCTTCGTCCCCCCCCTCCTGGGGCCCACTTTGATCGGCTTCGATGTCGAGCTCGCCCAGCTCGACCCGATCCGATTTTGAGGTTCCCGCGATTCGAGGCGGCCCGATGCTTGCACAGTTTCACTGGGTTTTCGGGCGCAGTCGACTCGATTCCGTTACGACTCCATGCCGATGCCTCGCGATCCCGCGCGGCATGCTGAGCCGACCCGATGTCCTGATTCGGTGCTGACCGAATATGTCACCTTCTTCGCTCCTCGTAGTTGTCGTGAGATGTCAGCGCTCCGCCGCACTTCCTGCTCTCATGGCCCTCGTGTTCTCCATTTATGTTTTTCATTGTCTGTGTTCGACGCCCCCTGCAATGATGTGTTCGTTGAGCCAGGTCTGGGAGATATCTCACCTGCCGCGGCTCATTCCTCCTCCTGCTTCTTCTCCTCTTCCTCCTCCTCGTCTTCCTCCTCCTAGTCTCCTCCTCTCCTCCTCCTCCTCCTCCTCCTCCTCATTTTTTTTCTCCTCTATCTTATCCTCCTTCTTATCCTCCTCCTCCTCCTCGTCCTCCCTGTCTTCCTCCTCCTCCTCCTCCTTCTCCTTCTCCTCCCTCTCCTTCTCCCTCTCCTCTTTCTCTTTCTCGTTCCTGCCCTTGCCCTTGCCCGTCCTCCCCATCCGCTTTCCCCTCTTCCTCCTCCTCCTGCTCGTTCTCTTTTGCTTCTTCCTCTTCCTCCTCCTTGTGCTAGACGAGCCCGCGTCACTCGAGGATCGTGCTGTTCGTCGTCCTCTCGTACCTGTGGCAGCACTGCGTTCTGGACGGGGTTGGGCGGTGGCCCGTCCGCGGCACAAGGGCTCGAAGAGATTCGTGGGCTGCGACGTGGGTGAATAACCCGTTGGGTGGGACATTACGCGTCTCCCTGGAATCCACCATGCTGGGAGGGTGGGGTAAGCCGGGAGAAGGGGGCGGTGAGGGGGAAGTGGGAAACGGGGATGATGGGGCGGGGCAGGGGGTGGAGGAGAGGGGAGAGCAGTGGACGGATATGGGGAGGGGAGTGCAGGGAGGAGGGAAGGGAGGAGGACGCCGGGGGAGGCAGCGGGTTCGGCAGGGAGGGGGGAGCGGGAGGGGAGGAGGGAGGGGAGAATGGAGTGGAATGACGGAGGAGTGGAGTGGGGGAGGAGGGGAGAGGGAGGGGGGAAAGGGAGGAGGGCAGGGCAGGAGGACAGGAACCGTTCGGCACGGGCCATCCTCCTTCTGCGCTGCTCCTCGTGCTGCTCCTCCTCGTGCTGCTCCTCCTTCCTCGTGCTGTCTGTTTGCCGTCTTCCTCGTGCTGCTCCACCTTTCTGCTGCTGCCCTCTTTCTTCTCGTCCTCCCGTGGGAGGGGCGAAGAGGAGGAGGAGGAGGAGGTGGAGGAGAAGGAGCAGGACGAGGAGGAGGAGGAGGAGGAGGAGGAGGAGGAGGAGGAGGAAGCGGAGGAGGAAGAGGAGGAGGACCAGAGTAAACCCAAGATGCATCAGCGATGCTGCAACACACCCTTCTGACACAAGTCCCCCTCCGCAGGCGTCCTGGCTCGCTTTCCCTCCTCTCTGTGCACGAAGCGCCCTCTCGAGAGGCCGGCACCATGCGGTCCTGCCATGGTGGCGGGGGCCCCTCTCTGACCATGGGCCGCCCTGCGCCCTTCTTGCGCATACGCAGGACTGCGAGAAGCTATGATCATACAGGTCAGCGACGTGTCCAGCGACCGCCCCCCTCCGAAGAAAGGGGCCCCCAGTTTTGTGAGATTGCTGCACACGCTTGCGCTCGTGGTCGTGCGCTTCGGTGAGGTCTCGAGCGCGAGCGCTTCGTTCTGAATGGGGCCGCTGTCGGCCCGTGCAGTTCAGTCTCGGGTCTTGCGAATGCGGGAAGACTTCCGCGAGGAGCCAATTTTGACGCAGAGTCCTCCTCCAACCTGCTGATTGCTGCAAGATGCTCAACGACTTGGCGGTGCGCTGAAACGAGAGCCCTGGGTTGAAATTACTCGTGCTTCACCATGCAGCTGTTGCGACATGTTGTATGACGAATGTGCGCGGCGCGAATGCGAGAGCCCCGCTTTGAAAAGAAACCGCCCTCCATCCCTGGATTTGTTGCAACATTTTGAGACGAACGCGCGCGCGGTGCTAAGTCGAGAGCCGCATTCTGAAAAAGGAACCACCCTCCCTCCTTAAAGCTGCCCTATGCTCTTGAGACGAATGCGCGCGGTGCCCAGGCGAGAGTCGCACGCTGAACGAGAAGCGCCTTCCGTCATTGAAGCTGTTGCAGGCTCTGAAGGCGACTGTGCGTGGCGCCAGGGCGAGAGATGCATGTAGCAAAGTAACCGCCCTCCATTGAAGCTGTTGCGAACTTTCGAAACGCATGCGCGCGGGGCCACAGCGATGGCCCAGTTTTGGGAACGAGCCACCTTCCATCCTTGTAGTTGCTATACGCTTTTAGGACGAATGTGCGCAGAGCGCTCAGGCGAGAGCCACATCTTGCACACGACCCGTGCTGGATCACCGTAGCTATTGCGAGATGTTCACAGGAATCTGCGCTGCGCCACTGCGAGAGCCGCATTTCGAAAACGCCCTGCGCTGCACCCTTGACTCTGTAATGCGAATGCGCGCGGCGTTATGGCGGGAGCCACGCTTGGAACAGCATCCGCCCTCCATCCTTGGAGCTGTTGCAAAGCTCTTCTCCTCCTCCTCCTCCTCCTCCTCCTCCTCCTCTCCCTCCTCCTCCTCCTCTTCATCCTCCTCCTTCTCCTCCAAGGTTCAGGATCATGTGTGGGGAGGGAGTCTCAGGCGAAACGCCCGGCCCGCCATACCGACACGTCCGGGGCTCGACAGGCAGGAGGTATCGAAGAGGCTTACGCACGGCATGTTCGTGTCGTGTCGACCGGCGGCGACCCCGCCAGCTGCGTTCAACGTTGAACGCGGCGGGCGACCCAGAATCGTTCGATGTGGAACGATTTGGATGTTTCGGAAACGGCCGATCGTTCAAGATTGAACGATCCCCGCGGTGTCAGAAATCAACGCCGAAGTCAGAACGACACGAACCTGACGTACGTACGCCATTCCGCCGTCCCCCAGCGAAAAAGAGTCGAGCTCGGGGGGGGGAGAAGGGACAGCCGATCATCTCACACGCCCTTTCATCCCCAGCAGGTGGGGGTCGGCCGATTTACTAGGAAAAGTGATGGAGGAGGAGGAGGAGGTGGGCGATGAGACCGATGATGATGAGGATGAGGACGAGGGATATGGTGGAGGAGGAGGGGAAGAGGAGAAGAGGAGCGAGGGAGGGAGAGTGAACGGCTCGGCCATGGTGGAAGGGACGAGCGGTGGAACGTGAGAGCCGGAGGGAGAGGGTGCTTTCTTCCGCTCTGGAGACTGTGAAGGATACAGACCAGATGTTCGGCAAAGACTTCCCGAGCGACCAGTGCGACAGGTCGTGGGGGCTGAGGGCGAGGGGGGAGGAGGAGATTGCAGAGGCAGTATGGAAGCTCATGTGGTCGGTGCTTTGTCCAGGCCTCCATTTTTGGCCCAACCATCCTGTGGTGTTTGGTCTTCGTTTTGAATCAGCAGCGCTCCGCGCTCTCGCTCCTCTTCTCTTCCTCTGGCCTCGTCGTCATCATCCTCGTCGTTATCATCAACCTGATCATGATCATCATCATCGTCGTCGTCATCATCATCACTATCATCATCATCAACATCATCATCATTATCATGATCCTCCTCATCCTCATCATCTTCACCATTACCATTACCATCATCATCAACAGCAGCATCATCATCAGCACTATCATAACCATCACCATAAACATGATCATCACCACCACCACCATCATCACCATCACCATCATCATCAGCACTGTCATCATCGTTATCATCATCATCATCATCATCGTCATCATCATCATCATCATCATCATCATGATCATCATCATTATCAGCATCGTCATCACCATCATCACCATTGTTATTCTTACTGCTTTTCTTATTCTGTTCCTACTCAAAGAGTTATTATGATTCATCGTCTCATTACCAATGCTATTACCACCAATGCCATCATTTGTATTAAGGTTTAAACCATACTAGTGTGTTATTATTTCCCTCTTATTTGTATGAGTTGTTGGTCGTATTATTACTATTTTTTACCAGTGTGTCTACAGTTGCAACCCATCATAGATTTTTAATAGTACTGTACATTCTTTGTATTATTAGTGTGGTTATCATCAGCATCACCATCATAGTCACTTCGGCTTGAACACGTGCTCGTCACCGTTGCTTTCTGTGCTCACCTGCGCCCCCTGACTCCCCGCGTCCCGCAAGGTTGTTTCGGCCCAGCTGGACTGGGTTTGCCGATTCGTGAATCCATAAGCTTGCTTACACCTCTCTGCTGGTGGTGCTGCTGCGATGTAGGGGCGGTTCAAATTCAACCTGATCGTCGACGCGGCCTCTCCGTCGTCCCCTTCCCCTCGGATGACGGCCCTGGCTTTCTTGGATCACATTTGCCACGCCGTTACCTTGTACTCGGTGGTGGACCGCGGGCACCGCAATTCCAAGGTCTGCTTGTGGCTCTCTGCTCGTGGCTCTCCCCTCGGCAGGGGCAACTGCAGCATGGTGATGAAGACGAATGTGATGACAATGACACATGATTCTGATGGCGATGATCCAGGCGGTGGTCAGAAGGATCGAGGTTCTAGCGGTCGCGAGCGGCATCCTGGTCAGGATCCCTGCCACGGTGGTGGCGACCCATGTTCTGCTGGTGGAGACATGGCCAACGGCACGCGGTTTTCCCCAGGACCGCTCTCGAAGCGGCCACGGAAAGCAAAAGCTTTTGGATTCCATGGACTTTTCGATTATCCCGCCTTTTCCTTGTTACGCCAGCGCTGAAGTTTTTCAGCCGTCTGCGGAGTTGGATTCAGCTCGTGTCCTGCCGCACGAGCTTCTGAAGCTTGTTTGCGGTCGTGAACCTGGTGTTGATCATCGAGGGACTGGTGGTGATCATGAGTCTCGTTTCGAGCCTCTTCTTGGGGGAGATCTTGGTTATGTGGATTGTGGCGAGTCTGCCGCTCATTCTTTGGTTCTTACGGTCAGTCATTGCGGGTCTGCTGGTGCATGTGACGATGCGGATCCTCAGTATAGTCGAGCTGACTATGGTGGAGTTCTGCTTGAATAGTCTCCTGGTGTGCCCCGTGCGGATCCAGGTTGTGACCACGATGTGCCTGCAGTTGGTCGACCTAGCATTGCCAGCATCGACTTCGTTCTACGCGCCTTCCTCCTCCTAGCTGTCGCGGTGCCCCTGTTCGGACGCGGCTGCGACCTTCTCCTGTTGGCCGTGGGTTGACCAGCTGTGATGATGAATCGCTGTATGTCTTCAGTCCTGGTTCAGGTATTCTTGCTGATGTCTACTGGGCCGCCGTGTCGATTTAGTCGAGTGCAGCCCCGACCTAGAAGACGTGTATGAGTTCGCCCGTTGCCCGCATTGGATGTGGAATGCAGTTGTGGATGCTAACCCGAGTGAGGAATATAGTAGTTCTGAACAGCGAAGCCGTGCTGAACCGTCTCGTCTTCTGCCCAGCGATAGCTAGTATGCGCCAGATGCCTCCGACGATAATGATGCAAACGGCTTGCCTGCATTCTTCGAGTTAGAATTGTACATGCTGCTCTTCCTGGGGTTCGTCTGTGTGGCGGTGGCCGTTGTGCATCATGGGGCGTTGAGGCACCGTCCTTGGCGGGTCTCTTCTCTTGCTGGTTGCGTCTTGTCCGCTCGTGCTGTCGCCTCCTCTTTCTTCCTTCTGCCCCTCTCGTGATCGTCTCTGCGCTTTGGGTCGTCATTTGCCCCCCCTCGGCCTCTTCTTGCCTTCTTCTCTTCTCGTGCGTTCCGTCGTCGCCCTCTGCTCCGCAACAAGACAGACTGCTGCCGTGGTGTGTTGGGTTGGGGGGGAAGCAGAATCCCATCATCATCATCAGCATCAGCATCAGCATCAGCATCATTATCATCATCATCACCATCACCATCACCATCACCATCACCATCACCATCACCATCACCATCACCATCACCATCACCATCACCATCACCATAACCATCACCATCACCATCACCATCACCATCACCATCACTGTCACCACCACCATCACCACCATGATAATCATCAGCAGCACAACAATCATCAGCATCATCGGCACCAGCATCAGTCACATCTTGGCACACCCCTCACACGTCTCGTGGCCCCATAGGGAGGTCCACCGAAGGCCCCATCGGTGCCTTTCAAATCAACCATTGGTGATCAGCACCAGTTTCGGCCTATGGCCAAAAGGCCGAGTCCTACTCTGTCGACTGCCAGGCTGCGTAAGGTGACGATGGCGTTCGTTGTTGCGATCAATGACGGCAAGAGATGGTCGGATTGCGTATGCGACAGCCACCAGCTCGATCTCAATGGTGACGTCGCCATGGCCTTCGGCAACTACTGCTTCATCTGCGCACCAGCTGGAAAACATCCAAAGTCGAGTACACCTTCGGGTGCAAAGGCTGCGACGATGGTAATGCACGCATCTGTTGCACCATTTGTCTGTGTCGCACACCGTCATCAGTCAATCAGCGGGCTCCAAGGGACATGTGACAGTCAACACAGCAGCGGTCACTCAGAAAAATTTGATCGCCGTGCAGGATCCACGGGTGGGCGCGATCAGAAGCATCTCGAATTCTACAAGGATGCTAGTGTAGCTGGTGAGCCCTGTGCCTACGGCAAGCACGACGTGCTCTTCAAGCCAGCCAAGGCTGTCCATCGCCAGTTTCGGCGCGAGGCAGAAGAGGCCATGTCGTATTCTGTAGGTTGCAAGGCCGTCGACATCAGGTACGGTAAGGATGGTGTTTTTGGCGATCAAGGTGCGGTAAGGGTTGGTCGGATTGCGTACGCGACAGCCACACGATGGTACCTATCGCCATGGGTAATTTTTTATTTACCTGCGCACCAGCCGGAGAGAATCCCAACGTCGAGTCAATCTTCGGGTGCAAACGCTGCGTCTATGGTAAGGTGCGCACCTTTTTGCACGATTTGTCTGTGCCGCACACCGTCTTTAGTACAGCAGCGGACCCCAAGGGAAATGTGGCAGCCAGCGCAGCAGCGATCACCCAGGAAACTGTGATAGACATGCAGAACGTGCGGGCGGGCGCGATCAAAAGCATGTAGACTATCTGCAAGGAGAATGGCGACTACGGCAATGCTGCTTCTACTGCAGCTGGTGAGCTGTATGCCTGCGGCAAGCACGACGTGCTCTTCAGGCCAGCCAGGGATGCCCAGCATCAGTTTCGGCCCTAGGCAGAAGAGGCCATGTCCTACTTTGTCGACTTCAAGGCTTCAGAGATTTGGTACGGTGAGGATGTCGTTTTTTTTGCGATCCATGGCGGCAAGGGTTGACCGGATTGCGTGTACGACAACCACCAGGTTGCAATCAAGATCGATGTCGCCATCACTATTGACAGCTACTACATCACCTGCGCACCAGCTGGAGAGACACCCAAAGTCGAGTACACCTTCGGGTACAAAAGCTGCGACGATAGTACGATGCACACTTCCTTGTACACTCGTCCGTGTCGCACACGGTTACGTAAGTTGAGGCCCCTGGTTCCGAAGTCGATGTAAGTCGATGTGAAAGTGATGGATGCGTGAAGGGCCAATAGTGTCTCTCTAGCAAGGGACTGGATTGGAGTCAGGCGTTGCCCGCGGCTCATCAGCCAGCGGTGCGCTCCCTACTCTTAGTTGTTGGTCTCTTCCCCCTTCTGCCCCCAGCAAGAGACTGCAAGAGGGGGGTGCGGTGTTTGCGCCTCAGTAGCCACTGGCGTGCCACTGCTCATCTATGAATTTCCAAGTCAGCGTACGCGTGATTTTCTTTCCCGATCTCATTCGCTTCCTCCAAAAATGCGCCTTAGCATCCCTCGGAGTGCCATTTGGCATCAATGATGTCTCACTTACTATGGTGTGCAATCAGTTGTCGCGCTCTCCTCCCCGCTCCCCCGGCACAGACTGCGTCGGGTGGGGCGGTGATTGCGTCTCAGCATCCATTGGCGAGCTATTGCTCATCAGTGAGTATTAAAGTTAGCCTGTGCTCCCCCCAGTAAGAGACTGCATCGGGGTGTGGCGGTGTTTGCGCCTCAGCATCCATTGGTGTGCTATTGCTCATCAGTGAATCTCAAAGTTAGCGTGTGCGTGATTTCCATTCTCGCTCTCCCCTTCTTCCCCGCTGCAATGCGCCTTAGCATGGACTGGTGTGTTATGCGGCATAAGCGAGCTTCCAAACATCATGGTGTGCAACATGTTATCGTATTTTCCTCTCCACTCCCCCACCACGAAGCTGCATGAGGGTGGGACTAGGTTTTCGCCTCTGCATCCATTGGCGTGCGACTTGTCACCAACGCGTTTGCAATGTCTCGCGTGCAGCGCAAAAACACTTCTGATGTGCAAGCCTGTCCACGACAGCTCGATTGGATGAGAGAAACGAGCTGCCTCCCATCGGTGGGGGCGTTTCTTTCCTCGCAGACTGCGCGACCCCAGCCGCGCTCGTGGGAGCCACTCTGCGCACACGCCGACCTCGGATGCCCCGGCACCGCGCCGCACCCTGCGCGCCTGGCCGACCGCAGGAGGCGTGGCTCCGCGGGCGCTCGAGCGCCACCGCAGCTGGCCGGGTGGGCGTCAGAGCTCCGCCGAGAGATTCTGAGAATCTCTCTCGGCGGAGAATCATTCTCGCACCGCTCATTCTCGCACCGCTCGCGGGCCCGCACCGGCGACGGCCGTCCCGACCGCCTCCGCCCAGGCAGCACCTCCCCGGCCGGGGGACGGCAGGCCCACGGCGGGCAGGGGGGGACGCTCGGCCGCGCGCCTCGGGGGGGGGGAGGCAGAGGGGGGGGGGGCGGCCACTCTCTCGGAGCGCTCGGGATCACGGGACGAGCATCGGTATCGTTGAACCGATGCCCAGCCCCATTCCCGGCCCCACCATTCCACCACCCCAGTCGGGGATCTGCCCCTCGAAGCCCGCAGGGAGCCGCCCACACCCCCATCTCGGGGGTAAATTGGCCAGTGGGGCCCGGGCCACGCCAGTGGGGATAGGGATCGGTCAACAGCTGCTAAAACAAAGCATCCCCACCATCGGGTCTCAAGGGACGGGGGGTCAACGCAAGCTGGGGTCAGCCAGAGCGCGGGATCTTGCAGGATCCTGCAGAGCCAGGGGGCCCATGTTTTTGCGTGCAGGATCTTGCAGGACTATGTAGGATCCTGCAAGTCCCAAGAGACCAGGGTTTGGGTTGACCGGGGCCAGTAGACCCCCGAGACCACCATAATCGGCGTTTTTGTGAACGGCCCTGGGCGTATTGAACAGCGCTGCCCTGTTCGGGGTCCTTTGAGTGCCTGTATGGAACGGCTTCGCTCGTCGGGGTTCTTATTACTGTCGGCCTTGATTAGTAGGTCGACCCTGACAAGTCAAGGGTACTCTTGTGCCCTGTCCTCAGAGACACGTGCCTTGTGCACTCCTATGGCAGTGCAGCCCTCGGAAGGGTCTTGTGTCCTCTCGCGTGTCCTCCGCAGAGAAGTCCGACTGTATGAGGGTGTTTTGTAGAAGCGTTCTAAGCCATCTCCGAGGCCACCGAGCGCTTCTCGGGAGCGCTGCCGCCTTCTGAGAAGGCCCGACCCCTCTCGTTTTTTCCCCCCCTCGGCGCGACGCCGAAAAAGAGGAGGTCGAGGAGGGGAGGCAGGGCGACGAGGGCCCGGCAGGAAGATGGCCTGCTTCTCGTCCGAGCTCGACGTCGCAACCTTCTTCAGCCGCGCGTACGAGCCCGTCGACTGCTCGGCGGTTCCCCGCCCGGATGCAGCGCCAAAGCACCTTCCTTTGGGAGCGAAGCGGAGGGAGCGAAGGTCATCTTGAGGCCATGAGGCATGCGTGTCTCGCGGGAGCGGGTCCCGAGGTTTTTGGCCGCTTCTGCCCTCCCGGATCTGGCTTCCTGGGGCCCTTCAGGGACCCCAGAATTGTCAGAACAGTCGACTCCGGACGAAAAGCTGGCCCTGGGGGCCAGCGGCTGTCGGTGGCGGCGCGGGAGCGACGGCGGCGTGTGACAGCCCAGAGAGTGTTGTGAAGGAATGCCCCGCCAGATTTCGCTTCCCGCGCTTCCGCTGCCGAGAAACAAATCCCTCAGGATCCGCTTGCTTCATGTCATGGGCATGAGGGGAACGGGGGATCCCGGACTTCGACGCCGTGTCTTTTCCACAGCGTGGCGTGGACGCCTGGAGGCTGAGACTCCTTCCACGTGACGGCTGGGCTGTTTCTTGACGGTCTCGGGGCCTGGTGAAGGCCTACAGAGGCCTCGGGGGCGGTGACGTGGGGGGTGATGATTAGGGCGGGCTGGCGGATGTCATGGCCGCCAGGGTACCTCCCCAGATTTCATGGCCCCTTTTCTCATTCCTCTCGCGTCGCGGGGTGCACGTCTGGAGCACGTTAAGGCCGGGCGTTGGGTGGTTTGCCCTGCTCGTCAGCCGAGAAGTTCTGCCGTGTCGTTCTGCCCGCCCCAGGGCGCTGCCAGCGCCACGGGGGGCAGATGCGCCCCCCACCCCCGTTTCAGCGCCTGGGCGAGCGTGCGAATGTCCACGCGCGTCAGCACAAAGCAACGCCAAGTTCAAATTCCGATGAACACAACAAGAACACGCCATTCGCACACAATTCCGCAGGTCTTTTGGTGGTCTCTTTGGGCCGTTTGGGTTTTTGTAGGGGACATTTTGGAGGCATCTCGGGGGCACCTGGAAGCCGCGGGGGGGCCCTTTGGGGCCTCTTGGGTGCCTCTTGGGCCATCTTGGGGCGCTCTTGTGTTGTTTGGCCCTTTCGGAGGCTGTCATCGGGGCCTCTCGGGGCCGCCTTGTGGTTCTCTTGGGGGCCTCTTGAGCCTTCTTGGGGCTTCTGTCGGCCATCTCGGGGCCCTCGTGGGCCTTTTTGGGGCCCTCTTGGTGGTCTCTGGGGCCGTTTCGGCATCTTGGAGGCTGATCGGTCCGTGATTGGTTCCCAGGAATCGAAACATGCGAAAACGCAAACGTTGTGTAAAACCCGCAGGAGAATCGGTGCTTCTGGCCACTGGAAATCCTCGTGGGGGCCTCCTCGTGTAGTCGTAGTCGTAGTCGTAGTCGTAGTCGTATTCGTAGAAGTACAAGTAGTAGTAGTAGTAGTCGTCGTCGTCGTCGTCGTCGTCGTCGTCGTCGTCGTCGTCGTCGTCGTCGTCGTCGTCGTAGTAGTAGTAGTAGTAGTAGTAGTCGTAGTAGTCGTAGTAGTCGTAGTAGTCGTAGTAGTCGTAGTAGTAGTAGTAGTAGTAGTAGTAGTAGTAGTAGTAGTAGTAGTAGTAGTAGTAGTAGTAGTAGTAGTCGTAGTAGTAGTAGTAGTAGTAGTAGTAGTAGTAGTAGTAGTAGTAGTAGTAGTAGTAGTAGTAGTAGTAATAAGTAGTAGTAGTAGTAGTAGTAGTAGTAGTAGTAGCCATCATGGGGCCTCTTGAAGTTATCGTGTAAGTGCGGCATCTTGGAGGCCATCTGGATTAGTCTGGGGCCACCTGAAGGAAACAACCGAGAAGCACACATCTTCGACCCTCTTTTTTCCAATTAGTTCTCTCCGCTCTGGGGGCCCCGTAGTATCCTCTCGGGGCCCTCCTGGGGTGCTCTTCGGGCGCTTTTGGGCGCTCTTGGAGCCGCATGTGGCCATCTTGGGCCCCTCTTGGGCCATCTTGGGCCCTCTCGGAACCATCCTGATGCCTCGGCAAGCCTTCGAAACCGAAAGGCGAGAGGGCCAGCATCATCGATGCTCCTCATCTTTTTTGTTTTTCAGTTTTTATGTTTTTGTTTTTCCTTTGTTTCCTTCGATTTTGGCCTCTTGGTGGCCCTCGTGGGAGCCTCCGGGGCCGCTTGGACCTGTCTTGGAGCGGTCTTCGAGCCTCTTAGAGTCTTATGGAGGCCATCTTGAGCCATCTTGGAGTATCCTGGGCCAACTTGGAGGTCATCTTGGGCTCTCCGAAGCACTCTTGTAGCCATCTTGGGCCATCTTTGACGCTCCAACGCGTCGCACCCCACCCCGTCCAAGTCAATGGGGGAGGGGGGAAGGGGGAGGGGTCAAGACACCCTCACCTTTAGCAAGCCGTCTCGCTCACTCCCACCCGCCCTCCCGACACGTAATTAGCACCCGAGCCGCAGCATGTTCGGCGGTCGTCTTTGGATGGACAGCTAATTGGAACCAAAACAGACCCCATGAGCGCAACGCTTGGGCGAGGTGCGCCACGCGTGCCAGGCACCCCTTTTGTCCCAAGCGTGCCAGGCACGCCTGGGGCGCCACATGCGCCCCGTGATCCACGTGCGCCATGTGTGCCGCATGTTCCCTGGCGGTCCCCCTGCCGCTGCCGGCAGCTCTGCGTGGCCGGGCTTCCTCTCCCCCCGTCGCGCCAGTAGGGGAACAGAAAGTGACATAAACATTAAAACTCGGAGGTCCGGGCGGATTTCTCGGATCGGCGCTGGGGCCCCCCGGCGGCGCCTCCAGCGCCGCCCCTGGCGCGCTCCCCGCGCCAGGGAGGGGGTCCAGCGCCGATCCGAGAAATCCGCGCGGACCTCCGAGTTTTTCTGTTTATGTCACTTTTTTTGTTTCCCCAGGCAGGGCTCCTCCTCCTCCTCCTCTGGTGCAGTGCGGCCTTCATTTGCATAAAGCGGGCCCCTGTTGCCATTCCGCCGGAGCAGTCGACCTCTGCCCAGCCGCCGACGCAGACACGTGTGCCGCGTGCTCCAGCCCCGCCGTGTGCGCCGCACTCGGGGCGCGCGCGCAGTGCCAGGCTCGCGCGCGCGCGTGGCAGTGCACGTCGGGAGGCGCGTCGGCCCCCACCGCCCTCGTCGAGAACCAGTGCGCAGTCGCGGCGGGGTGGCCATCGCAGTCTCTGGTGGGCCTGCACGCAGCAGGCCATCTGCCAGCATCCCCGCCGTCCCGGTCAAAAAACAATGCACGGTGATCGCGGGGTGCCCGCGCACGATCCAGATTTTGCCTCTCCTGCGCGCGGCAGGCAATATGCGGGCACCCCCGCCGTTATTCAAAAAACAATACAAAGTTCTCGCGCCCCTGCCGATCATGAGCAAATATTTTGCCCCACAGTGAACTTCACATGGTCTTTTTTGACAGGGATGAGGGGAGGGCCTCGTTCGTCCTTGTTGGCTGTCGGTCGCCTGGGGGAGGAGGTGCTCATTCATAGGGAAAAGTGATAAACCCTTCCGAAGGGGAAGAGGGGGGCTTGGAAAAGGAAGCTCCCTGAGCTACTCACACCCAACAGGGCTGGTGGGATTTAGTGGACAAGGCTCTATGCTTCCGCACAGAGCCGTGCCGCTTGCGGTCGCTCTGAGTTTTTGGCCGTGGGTACAAGCGTCCAGTTGCACAGAGTGTTGTCTAGTGCGCGTGGTGCAGGTCTTTCTTATGTGGCTCAGCTCGGTCTGGCAGTACAGAGTGCCATCACCCGTGTATTGGCCTGAACATTCGCAGCACAGCCCGTGCCATCAGAACTACGAAGGGGGCAGTGGGAGGGGCAAAGGGAGGAGGTGGTGGAGGACGAGGGGGGCGCGAAGGGAGAGGAGGAATGGGGAGTGGGATAGGGAGAGGATGAAGAGGAATGGGGAAAAGGGAGAGGGAGAGGATGAGGGAGAGGGAGAGGAAAAGGGAGAGGATGGAGAGGGAGAGGGAGAGGGGAAGGGGGAGGATGAATGGGGAGAGGGAGAGGATGGAGAGGAAGGATGGGGTGGGAGAGAGGGGGGGGGCTGAGCCCCGCCTTCCAGTCGACGAGGCAGAGCGGCGTCCCTTCGAGAACCGGGTGGTGGTGTCGTGCATGATCTTCGTGGAGCCGTCGGAGACCTCGCTCGCCCCTCGCTCCGCTCCCTCTCCCCCGGCTTCCCCCTCCTCTTTGCCCGTCCTCCCCCGTTTATTTGGTTGCTTCAATGTTTGTTGTTGCTGCTGCAGCTGCCGTTGTTGTTGTTGTTGCTGTTGGTGTTGCTGTAGATGTTGTTGCTGCGGTTGATGTTGTTGTTGTTGCTGTCGTTGTCGTGGTCGTTGTCATTGTTGTTGTTGTTGCTGCAGCTGCAACTGCTGTTGTTGTTGCTGTTGCTGTTGCTGTTGATGTTGTTGCTGCTCTTGTTGTTGTTGTTGCTGCTGTAGTTGTTGTTGTGATTGTTGTTGCGATCGCTGCTGCTCTTGACGTTCTTCTTGTTGTGGTTGTTCTGATTGTCGTTGTCGTTGTTGTCGTTGTCGTCGTTGTTGTTGTGGTTGTTGTTGTTGGTTGTTGTTGTGGTGGTTGTTGCTGCTGCAGCTGCTGTTGTTGCTGCTGCTGTTGCTGTTGTTGTTGTTGTTGCTGCTGCGATTGTTGTTGTTGTTGTTGATATTGTTATTGTAGCTGCTGCTGTTGCTGTTGATATTGTTACTGCTGCTGCTGTTGTTGCTTCTGCTGTAGTTGTCGTTGTGATTGTTGTTGTTCTGATTGTTGTTGTTCTTGATGTTCTTGTTGTTGTTGTTGTTGTTGTTGTTGTCGTTGTCGTTGTCGTTGTTGTTGTTGTTGTTGTTGTTGTTGAACATTATTACTTCTAAAGAATAATTATTGTTGGGACCCCTGGTGCACGACCCCCCCGCCGCGCCTAGGCCGCAGCCTCATTTTCATCATTTTCGTGAGGAAGTCTCAGGCAAAACGGGGGAGTCCGGATCCGGTTGTGTTGTTACGATCGGTTTTCCCTTGCAAAAAATAAGCTAAAGTGGACATTTCTTGTTCTAACATAACCAAACTTCAAGAATCCCTTGCAAAAAATAAGGTAAAGTGGACATTCGCGCGCGCAAGACGAAATCCTTCCAAAACCTTAGTTTTCGTAGCGATTTTAACATAAAAACATCAAAAAACCAATGGTTTTTCAAAAAAAAAATGTCAAAATTTCATCCCGCGCGCTCTTGCGGATTCGTAGGAAACCCAACACTTTTTAAACATTTCTGTCAAACGGGCTTTTGCGAGCAACTTTTTCGAACTTCTGCAACAACGGTTGCGCACCTGCCAGGGCCATCATCCCTGTCAAATAATACCATGCGGGACACATTCGTTTTTTCTTCGCGCGCGCACGCCGTCGTCGTCGGCCGCGGGGCCCTGAATAGTAGCCACGGTCGTCCGCATGCCACGAAGTGAAGTGTCCGAACGTCATAGGGCGGGAAGCTGGGTGTGGGTGGTGGCGAAGAGTCGTTTGGAAATTTGGTAGAGCTTGAACCGGCCCCCCCACAAAGTGGGGGTATTGCCCGCCTCCTATGAAAACCCTGGCACTGGTGAGAACGGTGTGTCCCCACGTGCTAGTAATTGTTGTTGTTGTTGTTGTTGTTATCGTTGCTGTTGGTGTCGTTGAACTTTCGCTACTGAAGAATAATTTTTGTTGATCCCCCCCCTCAGGTGCACATTGTATTTTTCAATTGAAGTGCCCCTCCTGGCGCTCGCAACCTGTTTCTAACTTTTTTGGGAAAGTCTTCCTCCTCAAACTGTGCCTCTGGCCCCCGGTTTACAACAACAACGGCTCCCGCTTCATACTTCCTCGAAATTTACTCTGGTCCCCCCGCTCCCGCTTGAGATGTCTTAGCAATTTAGTCAAGAATCGCGCTCCCGCCGGAGACTTCCTCGCAATTTACTCAGGCGCCGCGCTCTTGCCATTCAGGAATCGCGCGTTCGCTGGGGACTTCCTCAAATTTACTTAGGAATCGCTCTCTCGCTGGGAACTTCCTGGCTAATCACGCAGAACTCACGAAGAAATATATCCGAAGCAAAAGTGGTATGATCGAAGACGAAGAGGGCGGGTATCGAGGGTTAGGGAAATGCGCGCTGAATGACATTCGAGGAAATAAGAGCGAATAGTCTTAAACTGATTGTTGTTGTTGTTGTCGTTGTTGTCGTCGTTGTTGTTGTTGCTGTTGCTGTTGCTGTTGCTGTTGTTGTTGTTGCTGTAGTAGTAGTAGTAGTAGTAGTAGTAGTAGTAGTAGTAGTAGTAGTAGTAGTAGTAGTAGTAGTAGTAGTAGTAGTAGTAGTAGTAGTAGTAGTAGTAGTAGTAGTAGTAGTAGTAGTAGTAGTAGTAGTAGTAGTAGTAGTAGTAGTAGTAGTAGTAGTAGTAGTAGTAGTAGTAGTAGTAGTAGTAGTAGTAGTAGTAGTAGTAGTAGTAGTAGTAGTAGTAGTAGTAGTAGTAGTAGTAGTAGTAGTAGTAGTAGTGAGAGTAGTAGTAGTGAGATAAACTCTCTCCCTTGAACAAAAATATTATTGACCCCCTCCGGTGACCTTTGTATCTTTTGAACTGAAGTGCTTCTCCCGGGGCTCGCACCCTGCTTATTTTCAGGGCAAGTCACTAGGTTTAAACTGTGCCCCTGACTCCCGGTTTACAACAACAGCCGTCCCCGCCTGATACGTCCTCACAATTTAATCCCAAATCGCGCTCTCGCGCGGGACTTTCTCACAATTCGTATACGAATCGCACTCTCGCGTGGAACTTCCTTGCAATTTGTTCAGCCGATGCGTCCTCGGCGCTCGGGAATCTCGCCTGGGCCCGCATTCCCGACCTGCCCGCTATGGGTCTGCCCACCCGATCTGCCCGTCTGGTTCTACCATTTGTTTCCTGCTCCTTGTCCCGCTCCTGCTAATTTCTCCCGTGCTGCATTCTTCTCCCTCCCCCTCCACTCGTTTTCTCTTCCCTGGTTTTAGGGGCTGCTTTACATGCGCGTGGCAGGTAAGGAAGATATACCCCCAAGGGGGTACTATGGAAGACGACGGGGGCGGGTATACGTATTGATTTGCACATGAGCAGATAGGAGTGAACAGTTTGAGCATGATAGAACGTTCTCATTTTTGAAGAATATTTTTTGTTTTCAATTGAAGTGCTTCCCCGGGGCTCGCACCTGTTTTTTTCATGGAAATCCACTCAGCTCAAACTGCGCCCCTGGCCATCGAATTGCAACAACAACGGCTCCGTCTTGAGACTTCCTCACAATTTAGCCAGGACCTCCGCTCCCGTCTGAGACCGCGCGTTTTACGCGGGAGTCGCGCTCTCGCGAGGGGCTTCCTTAAACATTATTCAGGAATCGCTCTCTCGGCGCTCAGGAGTCGCGCTCTTGCTGGAGACTTGCTTGCAATTTGCTCAAGAATCGCGCTGTTGCGTTGGACTTCCCAGCAATTTCCTCAAGCGCCACGCTCCCGACGCTCAGGCACCCACGAGTCGCGCTCACGCCTAGGACTCCTTCGCAGCTTACTTAGGAATCGGGATCTCGCTGCCTTTCGTGGCCCCGTTGTACCCCTTCGTGGCCCCCTCGCTGCCCTTCGTGGACCCGTTGCAGCCCTTCGTGGCCCCCTGGCTGCCCCTCGTGGCCCCGTTGCATCCTTTCATGGCCCCTCGCTGCCCTTCGTGGACCCGTTGCAGCCCTTCGTGGCCCCTTCGCTGCCGTCCGTGGTACCGTTGCAGCCCTTCGTGGCCCCGTTGTCGCCCTTCATGGCCCCCTCGCTGCCCTTCGTGGCCCCGTTGCAGCGTTTCGTGGCCCCTTTGCTGCCCTTCGTGGCCCCGTTGCATCCGTTCGTGGCCCCCTCGCTGCCCTTCGTGGCCCCGTTGCACCCCTTCGTGGCCCCCTCGCTGCCGTCCGTGGTCCCGTTGCAGCCCTTCGTGGCCCCCTCGCTGTCCTTCGTGGCCCAATATACTTATGCACTTCGTGGCCCCCGCTCGTTCGTGCCCGTCGTGACCCCAAACTGCCTGCGCTTCGTGGCCCCGTTGTCGCCCTTCGTGGCCCCTTCGCTGCCCTTCGTGGCCCCGTTGCTGCTCTCAGTGGGCCCGTCCTTGCCCTTTGGGGCCCAATATACGTATGCCCTTCGTGGCCCCCGCTCGTTCGCGCCCGTCGTGGCCCCCTCGCTGCCCTTCGTGGCCTCACTGTCGCCCTTTGTGGTCCCTTCGCTGTCCCACGTGGCCCCGTTGCTACCCTGAGTGGCCCAGTCGTTGCCCTCACCCGCATTATCAGCCCTTCGTGGCCCCTGCTCGTTCGCGCCCTCGGTGGCCCATACGCATGCCCATCGTGGCACCGCTGTCGCCTTTCGTTGCCCGCTTCCTGCCCTTCGCGGCCCCGCTGTCGCTCTCCCTCTCGCTCTCCCTCTCGCTCTCGCTTTCGCTCGTCGTCGTCGGCGTCGTCGTCGTCGTCGCAGCCGTCGTCGTCGTCGTCGTCGTCGT